GACTACAGCTGAGGTATGACCCACACGGAACAAAACCACACGGACATGCTACGCACGTTCCACACTCCACTCACGGGAAATAGACACCGAAGCACCCGACTAAACAGACAAGACCGACCACACCCACACACCCAACACAGAGCCGACACGTCCAACACAAGACCTACCGTCCAAGCACAAGCCGACACCTCCAACAACATACCGACACCGCCAACACAAAGACCGACACCGCCAACACCAGCCGACCGACTAGAAACCGGCCAACACACAGACCGACACCGCTGCCAACACATCAGACGACACCGGTCCTACACCGTACCGAGACACCCGACGAACAGGACGCAAACCCCCCACGCAAACTAGGCCGCACAGGCACACCATAACCCCACGCGGAGCAACTTACACCGCCCACGCACACATCAGAACCCACGCGGAAAACCGACACCCACGGCGCACCACTCGACACCCCACGACGCACACTACAACCCATCCACGCACACCGGACACCCACAGGGCACACGACAACCCCCCACACACAACGACACACCACAGGCACACAAACCGACACGGCACACACACACACACACACAAAAGCACACACACACACACGACACAGCACCCACATCACACGGCACACACACCACACACACACACACACACACACACGACCCACACACACACACACCACACACACACACATACACACCCGGCACCACACTACACAAACACGACGGCGACACACACCACACAAACACGGCACAAACACGACACTACACACACACACAACGGCACACACACACACCCACACATCACACACCACACACACACAACACACCAGCACACACCGACACAGACACACACACACCCCGACACGGCACACACACACACGAGACCACGGCACACACACACAACGACACATCCCCCACACCACAAATCCGACACCCCCACCCACAACACACCGACACCCCCCCCAGCGACACACACCGAAACCCCCCCCACACACACACCGACAACCCCGCCCCGACACACGACACCCCACACCAACGACACGCGCCCACACAACACCGGACACCCCACAAACACACCGACACGACCGCACACACACACCGAAACCCCCGCACACACACACCGACACCGCCCCGACACACACCCACACACCACACCACACCCCCTACACATCACACCCCGACACCCCAACAGACACACAAGACCACCCGGACATCACACACACACCGACACCCGAAAGCACCACACACCGACACCCGACGAAGACACCACACCGACAGCCAGGACTACATCAGAACAGCCGAAACCCCGCACACACCAACACAACACCGCGAAACACACCCCCACCAACACCAACCACACGACCCAACAAACACCAACACCGACACAACACACCTCACCAACACCCGAAACACACGACACACACACAAGCACGCCGACCACACACACACACCCACCCGAGCCACCACACACACCAATCACTCCGACACACACAACAGCCATACACACGACACACACAACACCAACACCCGTACAACGACACCCCGACGCCCCCACACACACACACCTGACACCCCACTACACCCCAGCGACAACACCGACCCCAACAACCCACACACGACACACAGACACCAACACCACCGAACCCAACCACACACACCGACAAAATAACACACACACGACCGACACCCACACAACCACAGGCCGACCACCCCCCACACAGGCCGACACCCCCACACACAGACCCACACCCGACACACATACCCCACCCACACACAGAGACCGACGACCCCCAACACAGACCCACACCCCCAGACAGACCCACACCCCACACCCAGACTCCCACACCCCCACGACACAGGACCCAACCCCACAGCAACGACCCACACCCCACACCACACCAGAACCCACACCCCACAAGACAACCCACACCCCCACCAGAAGACCCACACCCCCAAACAAGCGACACCCCCACAGGCAGACGGCACCCCCACAAGCGACCGACACCCCCACACGCGACCGAACCCCCCCCAGCCAGACCACACCCCCACACGCAGGGACCGACACCCCCACACGCAGACCGCCACCCACACGCAGACCGACACCCCCACGCACAGACCGACACACAGCAAAGACCACACCCACACGCAAGGCAACAGCCGACAGACCCACAACGACACGCGAGGCGAGCCACACACGACACACAGCGAGCCACACCCAGAACCCGCACACAGGCACACCGACACACGCACAGGCAGACCGACAAAGCAAGGGACACCGTAACCGGCACACGCAAACAGCGACACCGACACACGCAAAGGCCACCACACACGCACCAGGCCACACCGACGACACGCAAAGGCCACACCGACAACGCACAGGCACACTCGACAAACGCACAGGCACACGACACACGCACGAGGCTACACGCACACCCACAGGCACACCGAAACACCACAGGCCCACCGACACAGGCAGGAGACAGCCTAAATAG